AGAAGAGACATGAAGAAGAGGGGACACATGTTGATGAAGAAGAGACATGAAGAAGAGGGGACACATGTTGATGTAGAAGAGACATGAAGAAGAGGGGACACATGTTGATGTAGAAGAGACATGAAGAAGAGGGGACACATGTTGATGTAGAAGAGACATGAAGAAGAGGGGACACATGTTGATGTAGAAGAGACATGAAGAAGAGGGGACACATGTTGATGTAGAAGAGACATGAAGAAGAGGGGACACATGTTGATGTAGAAGAGACATGAAGAAGAGGGGACACATGTTGATGTAGAAGAGACATGAAGAAGTGGGGACACATGTTGATGTAGAAGAGACATGAAGAAGAGGGGACACATGTTGATGTAGAAGAGACATGAAGAAGAGGGGACACATGATGATGAAGAAGAGACATGAAGAAGAGGGGACACATGTTGATGTAGAAGAGACATGAAGAAGAGGGGACACATGTTGATGTAGAAGAGACATGAAGAAGAGGGGACACATGCTGATGTAGAAGAGACATGAAGAAGAGGGGACACATGTTGATGTAGAAGAGACATGAAGAAGAGGGGACACATGTTGATGTAGAAGAGACATGAAGAAGAGGGGACACATGCTGATGTAGAAGAGACATGAAGAAGAGGGGACACATGTTGATGTAGAAGAGACATGAAGAAGAGGGGACACATGTTGATGTAGAAGAGACGTGAAGAAGAGGGGACACATGTTGATGTAGAAGAGACATGAAGAAGAGGGGACACATGTTGATGTAGAAGAGACGTGAAGAAGAGGGGACACATGTTGATGTAGAAGAGACGTGAAGAAGAGGGGACACATGTTGATGTAGAAGAGACATGAAGAAGAGGGGACACATGTTGATGTAGAAGAGACATGAAGAAGAGGGGACACATGTTGATGTAGAAGAGACATGAAGAAGAGGGGACACATGTTGATGTAGAAGAGACATGAAGAAGAGGGGACACATGTTGATGTAGAAGAGACATGAAGAAGAGGGGACACATGTTGATGTAGAAGAGACATGAAGAAGAGGGGACACATGATGATGAAGAAGAGACATGAAGAAGAGGGGACACATGTTGATGTAGAAGAGACATGAAGAAGAGGGGACACATGTTGATGTAGAAGAGACATGAAGAAGAGGGGACACATGCTGATGTAGAAGAGACATGAAGAAGAGGGGACACATGTTGATGTAGAAGAGACATGAAGAAGAGGGGACACATGTTGATGTAGAAGAGACATGAAGAAGAGGGGACACATGCTGATGTAGAAGAGACATGAAGAAGAGGGGACACATGTTGATGTAGAAGAGACATGAAGAAGAGGGGACACATGTTGATGTAGAAGAGACATGAAGAAGAGGGGACACATGTTGATGTAGAAGAGACATGAAGAAGAGGGGACACATGTTGATGTAGAAGAGACATGAAGAAGAGGGGACACATGATGATGAAGAAGAGACATGAAGAAGAGGGGACACATGTTGATGTAGAAGAGACATGAAGAAGAGGGGACACATGTTGATGTAGAAGAGACATGAAGAAGAGGGGACACATGTTGATGTAGAAGAGACATGAAGAAGAGGGGACACATGTTGATGTAGAAGAGACATGAAGAAGAGGGGACACACGTTGATGTAGAAGAGACATGAAGAAGAGGGGACACATGGTGATGTAGAAGAGACATGAAGAAGAGGGGACACATGTTGATGTAGAAGAGACATGGAGAAGAGGGGACACATGTTGATGTAGAAGAGACATGGAGAAGAGGGGACACGTGTTGATGTAGAAGAGACATGAAGAAGAGGGGACACATGTTGATGTAGAAGAGACATGAAGAAGAGGGGACACATGTTGATGTAGAAGAGACATGAAGAAGAGGGGACACATGTTGATGTAGAAGAGACATGAAGAAGAGGGGACACATGTTGATGTAGAAGAGACATGAAGAAGAGGGGACACATGTTGATGTATAGAAGACGTGAAGAAGTGGATTTTGCATAATAGGTGACCTTTAAAGAAAAGGACAGACGGTGGTTGGTGTGTGTTTGTGTGGAGGAAATGAGGGGGGTGAAGACATACTGCTTTGAACTTCCAGACGGAGCAGGAGAAGTCCTCTTGGCTATGTCTGAAGGAAGATGACTTATATCAATGGAGTGACTCAGTGGGCTCGTAAATGTGTGTGTGGGTGTGTGAGAGAGGGGGATTCTCGGACCACAGCTTCCTGAAGCCGTTGGTCTTTTCACGCTGACTTAGCATAAGTACTGAGGGAAGTGTGAGCCGTCCATTCCCGTCTTGGTACAAACAAACTACTTTTCTGGTCTGGTTCTCTAAGACAAAGTAATACCAGATGCTTGTAAACCTAAACATATGGAGAGACATCATACAATCACTGTTTTGGTCCAAATTGGCTGACATCATTGGGAGGTAATCTGGGGGTTTCTCAAGGACACTTTGACTCAATCCCCTCAACTACAGCTATCCCAAAGCAGTTAACCTACATTCGGAGGCAATATTATCCTTTTACACAAGATGTTTGTAGTTGCGGGGAGAGATGTGATACAAAGAAGGAGGAAGGGACAGATTCCTGCTGGTGTTGTTATTGTAGTTTGGTTCACTGACCAATTGGAGGTGCCATGGAGGCAAATTATAGCGAGTTCACACTTGATTTTGGCCCTGACTTTTCTACTTGCGAAGTATTTGAAGAATGCCGCCAGATTGACCAGATTTGAGGCATATTATCCCTGTTGTGGGAACCAAAAACCTCAAGATACTCTATTACAAAATAGTCCTGTAATGTGACGAGTACAGCAACCAGACAACACTGATAACAGTATGTATGTGCTATAAGGTTCCTTAAAAGAACACCGGGAACCTACAGTTTCTCGGCAAATTCACACTCCCTCTTGGAAAATCGAAATATAGAACATTGTGTGTTTTTTCAAAACAGGAGTTCCTTAAGACAGGTTTATGGTAACACGTGAATTGTTGTGTCTGTGCCATGTGCAAGTGGGCGAACATACACTTTCATTTGAACTGTTTTTGTCTGATGTATTGCAGTGGTGCATCAAGCAGTTCTGCAGATGAAGCTTCTAAGCAGACACTTGGCACACACACACACACACACACACACACACACCTACACACACACACACACACACACACACACACACACACACACACACACACACACACGAAGCTTCTAAGCAGACACTTGGCACACACACACACACACACACACACCCACACCCACACCCACACCCACACACACACACACACACACCCACACACACACCCCACACACACACACACACACACACACACACACACACACAACACACACACACACACACACACACACACACACACACACAGCAGATGAAGCTTCTAAGCAGACACTTGGCACACACACACACACACACACACACACACACACACACACACACACACACACGCACACGCACACGCACACGTGTTATCAGTTATTGATGGCTTTGTGGAGTCATGTTGACAGCCAGAGACAGACGTGTTTATTCTAGCACAGGCCCTCGCAAACAGTGAGGTTAAAGATCAAGCTTATCTCCAAAGCCTTACACACTTTAATGAATCCCTGCACTATCACTTCCACCAGCAACAACCTCCCGCAGGTGCTAAAAATAAACAAAATAGCTTAAATGCTTGTATGTTGACTGTTAGCTACAAATGTTTGCCTGAGGAAAACATGTTGATCAGCTAATGGAGGTACAGCCTGTCGGTACAAACTGAGCAAACGATTGTAGTTCTCACATTTCTTACACTGATAACGTTTCTCCTTCTCTCAATCCATCACAGTTTTTAAGTGTTATATTGTAAGTTGATGGCTGGAAATGTGATGATTGAAGTTAATATTGGAAGAATGAAAACATTATAACCATTTTGTAATAAAACGGTACATCTGCAGTTTTTAATAAAACAAAAATGGAACTGTTGCCTCGTCCATCTCAATTTGTTTAATGCAACACACATGCCCTGAATAACTGTACTGTAGTTATGTGACGAGTCTTACATCCTCACAGCTGAAGAATTCCCCTTTTTACGATGACAAATTTCCCCAATCAGTCCGCACATGTGTTTCTCTGCTCACTGTAACGCCATCTGTTCTCTAACCCCGAGGTCAGCAGAGACCCCCACACAGGGCTCAGTTCATATCCAAAATATATCATCATGTGATTCAAGATTATAGTCTGGATTTCAACTGCTAGCATTGTCATGATTTAACCATTAAGTATAGGCATAATGCATGGCAGTAACGCATTTAATGTTCAAGACTTTTATTGTCATGTGTACATAGCTACAGTGTAGTTATGACGTTGAATATTTGAAATATCACATATATATATATATAAGTATGTATACAAATATGTATATCTATACACAATCAACAGACACATTTATACATATGCACACATTACGAAATAAATCAATATATACAAAATAACAGTCACTTCAATAACTTTGAGAAATGTGCATTAGTCAGGGTTCATACACTTTTTCTCCAATGATTTTCCATGACCAAAAAAATGACTCTTTCTCAGCGGTACCACTGAAAATTGTTTATCACCACTTTTGGTTTGCCTGTATTTCTGTTATAACATACTGTACTTTGCTATTGACTGATTTTGACGCGTTGTGTATGATTCGCTGCTTTTTATTCAAAACACACCTACAAAAAACATGTCTTGCCATCATTGATTTAACACAGACTAGCTCTTCACCCCCGCACAACTGTTTGACCTACTTTACTGGAGACTGGACTCATACCAGTAGAAATACCAATATTAAAATACCTTAGAAGTTATTTACTGCTTAAGACAACAGCGATAAAGTAGGATTTCTTTATCCACGTCGAATACAGAGGTTTCAAATGAAACTCCTCTGTACTCGTACTTGTTCTGAAAGTCAGTAAATGTCGTTTTTTTTCCTTTCGTTTCTTACCTTGGAGATGTATGCTTTGATGCCCTCGGCCAGTTTGATGCATGGCTCTCCAAAAAGCTGTGCCAGCTGCTCGGGGATGTCCTGGTCTTTATCCAGATTCAGGTTCAGCAAGCTCAGGCACTTCAGCTCCTCTGTCACACCCTGGCTACGCACCTACAAAACACATACACAAAAAAAAAGAAATATTTGAAGCGCCTGGTAGCAACTATTGACGGAAACTCTGCCATATGTTTTTCGTACATTGCATTATCGGGCATTTGTGCTGCATTCATGTGTTCAAACATTCCACCGTCAACTTGGAACGACAACTCGAATACAGATATCAAAGTGTTGTTTGAACGCTCTGATCATTACTATACAACACATCTGTTTCCATAGACTTATAGCTCAGGATTGTACGCAAAGAAACCATCCAAAAAGCCAATGCTTTCTTACAGCTTGTTTCTTTTGTCACATCTGTTTACTTTTTCTCTCCATGTTTTGCCATTTATTTCTGTTCACGGTGCACATTTCCCAAAACACGCTTCCCTCCTGAAGTGTAGAGAACACAAATCCTTATGAGTGCATGCATGGTCTTCCTACTGGACATACACTCAAACATAATGCATCCTTATCGAGACATCTAATAAGAGTTAACTACGCTGATTCCTCTGAGGAGAAAGGGGAAATTGTTTCATTCCCCCTTTTGCTACGCCTCCTGTTTGGCTTCAATCTGAAGTCTGAATTTTGGGGCAGCACGGGTCGAGTAAAACATCTTTGGGAACTGAAAATGGGGCTTTATGAAGCTCAGTAACATGCATGTAAGTGTGTGTGTGTGTGTGTGTGTGTGTGTGTGTGTGTGTGTGTGTGTGTGTAGTCTTCAGGGAGGTTGTAAGCGTCACGGTCTGAAAGCCCTGCTAATGACTTTATAACAAGCACTGATGAGGAGAGAGAGATTACAGGGCTGCACTCCTTCACCCCCGTTCTTTATTTGTATTAATGTCTTTCCGCTTGACCCCACTTTTCTAATGAAACCTGTTCCTTTCTTTGTCTCCGCGAAACAGTTCAAGTTGACGCATGAGTGGATTTTGAAAGCGGCGTTTCAAAGTGTGTGTGTAAATTAGTTTAAACCAAGTGCTTACGGGAAAAGCTAACTAGGTCACATGACATACGTTTGAACTTGTTGCCTAGTCCTGAAAGGGTGAGTCATGTCTTTTAATTAATTCACATGTAGAACATTTCATAATTAGCCGATTTAGATACAGATGTAATTGTTCCAGTGAGTAAGTATAAAAGCTTCAGGTCAACTTTAATAGACGTACAATGTAGGGCTGTATCCGAATATTCGTTCGTTGGAGTACTATTCGGGTTTCAATTTCGTTATTCGGATATTCGTTTTATTTTGTTGAATTTATTGAAATCTCCAATATCAACGTAAGAGCTTGTGCCTCTTCGGGGGGTGCTAACACTTAACCATAAACGTTATCGTTTACTTTCTCCGTCTTTATATGTAGATATTACTTTTTCTCCGTTAATCTCCGTCACGTTGTTTCCATAGCAACAACAACTTCCTGTCAACAGCGCTAACTCTCCTTCAAAATAAAAGCATGTCCATACAAAATAGGAAGCCAAGCCAAATTACACTTAAGACGTATACAACTGCAACGAAAGTAACAAACACAATGCAATATCCTTTTCAATTTCAAAGAACACAAATTGGGTTACATTAACAAATAACTATAAAACAACAATACTGTAGAATAACAAAATGAATACCGTGAATAAACCGAAATACACGTGTTGAAGCGGTTCGCTGCTGATTACTACCGAATATCCAGAACCCGAACATTTTTATTCGGGACAGCCCTAGTACAATGTCAAATAAGGATTTCCCTAACCGAACCTTACTTTCTCTAAATGTTGCAAGACCGCTGAATTTATTATACGTGTTTGATCTGTCCTCATAAAAAGATGAGATGGACAAACGACCTAACATTGAAAAATGTACATTTTTTACAGTCTGAGGTTAGGATTTACGCCTTCCTTTTGGCAGAGATGCTTCTGCACATGGGATCGTAAATTTAATTTGGGCAAAGATTTAAAAAAAAATTCAGTGTGAATGGAACAATCCTTACTATTAAAGCCCCATTTAAAGCCGTATTCTCCATTGGTTTAGAAAATCAATTCAAATTCAAGACACGTTTGTCTCTGACGAACAATTTAATGTATTAAAGTTGACTGAAGATATAATATCTACACTTAAAAAAACTGCAATTGAAGTGAAAGTCACTCCAGTCGAGGTGAATGTCTTGCATTTGAACGTAGTTTCTTGTTGAGGTGAAGCTGATTTCACTCCATTTTCATACTGTTGGTCATTTTAACTTGTAACATGCATCATATTCTACAAGCTAATCATGTTTTGGATGCACATACTGTCGTCATCTTAAATACAATATCTCACTTTGAAATGTGGACCCATAGCAGTATAACATACGAACCTTTCCAACCCTGTCAAGGACTCACAAACCATATACTCTTTATTGCCCTTCAGTGAGAAAACAAAGCACAATGCACAGTAATAAATCATCTGCATACAATCAGTTCTCTTCCCAGTAAAAAAAAAACTGCTGACAGTTGCATCTTGGCAGAGACACTTTGTCTTTCAGAGAGTTGTTTTGTGATGACAGTTAACATTGGCAGACGTTTTGGGGAGGTTCAAACATGGATGAGTGAATCTGAGCAACAAATGGAGTGAAAGTCGGTTTCATTTCCCCCCCGGCGCCTCTGCCAAAACACACTCCCTGCTTAGGTGGTTCTGCACGAAGGATTCATTGTTATTAAGGAGTGTCTTATGTGAGCATAAAAGGTTAGACTTAATAGGGCTTTCATGTGTGCGTGGGTGTGTGTGTGTGTGTCCATTACGTTGTGACAAGGCCGGTATGGAGCGTCTCATCCACAGTAGTGAGCAGATAATAAAAGCTTGTTCCCATCACTGCACTAAGCTTAGAACAAGATTAGGAGACAACTCTCTGCTCCATTAGTTTACGGAGACAAGGCCAGAGGCTAAACCAAGCTATGCAGAGAAACATCATCACGTTGATTCACTTTTCTCAGGCTTCAGGGGGCTCAGGGAAACTTCCACCAAGTAGAGAAAGTGAGAGATGTTGTTATCTGTTGGGGGTAAAAGAATGCTTTTTGGTATTGGGAATGTCAGAAGAAAGATCTCTTTGAAAGGTCCATTGTTGAGACATTTCGTTCAAAACCACATATCGGTTGGCGCCACATAAAAAGAGGGTGGAAAACTCATAATCCGATCCAATTGGAGTCGAGATCAGCATGTATGTGGTTTGGATATACCAAGAATCAATTAGTTTAAACCAAGCGGGGAAGACGGGCGCTTACGGAAAAGCGAACTAGGTCACATGACATAAGTTTGAACTTGTTGCCTAGTCCTGAAAGGGTGACTCATGCCTTTTAATGAATACACACACATCGTAATTAGTCCATATTTTGAGAAGAACGATCTCTTTGAAAGGAACAAAAGTGTTGCTCCAAGACATTTCGCTCAAAACCACATAAAGAAATGTTGGTGGCGCAACATCAAAAAGAGGTTGTATTGCCATCATGACAAAAGCAATTTTGGCGCAATTGACATTTTGAGGCCATCAATACAATAGTTGTCGATGTGTTTCAGTCTAGTGTACAAGATGGCGGGCCAACAGAGCTCGAGCCACACAGCCTGTTTGAGTTCAACCCACTGACAGAAGCACATTTTGACGTCAAATCACATTTAGTTTAGCCTGTCTCTCAGCAGTTAGTCTGTATCCAATAGTAACGGTCGGCACAAATACTTCTCCAAATCTCCCGGCACGATCTTTTCCTTGGTTTTTCATCCACTGTCTGATCCTACCAAAACCCTGAAAAGCCACATTCTGCATGTGCTGAGCAGTTAGCGGCGTGACAAGACATCATCCTGGCATTGATTTGCTTCATAACAATATCCAACGCTCCTTTTTTGAGGCCAAGGAACTGATATCCGTTCATCCGTTGACTTCTTTAAAAGCAAACTGAAAACCCATTTCTTCCCATCTGTCTTCCTTGTAAAACTAATTTCCATCACCTAGTTTCAACATTACCATCACTATCAGTCACATGCTTTCATCACATGGCAATACTAATGTTGAGGTATAATGTTTTTATAATTCTTATGCTATGACGTTTGTATTTTGTTTTTGTGTTTGCTTTGGACAGCCCTTTCTTGTGATTTGGGGCAATAATACATTTTGATTTGATTTGATATTCAAGTGATTATGTGAGCTATGTCCTTCACTTTGAGGCCTTGGTTTGGTTGGAAAGCAGAGAGGAAAATGTGTGGAAACCAGTAGAGACCTGCAAGCCTCCAGAGATAGGGGGGGGGGGGACTCTCAACTCTACAAAAACCCTGGGAGCTCCACAGGTTTTTAACATCAACAGTGAGAGGAAGACCCTCCCTCTTCTCCGCTGAGTGCTCCTCTGACAGCAGTTTTTCTGCGCCAAGTCCTTACTCCACTCTTGAAATTGCAACACTGGCCCCACTGGCTATCAATTTGGAAACATGACTCAACGGAAAGCTGACAGCGGGTCCGGCCTCAACCTTCAAAAAATATCCCCTCTGTGTGAAAATTGATATTATTTCTGACAAAAACTTGATCAAGTACTTTTTATTCCCAAACAAAAGTTGGTTGTAATCCTTGCTTGTAATCCATAATCTGCTCGCTGCCTTTTTATTGGACAAATAACTGCTATATTCTCGTCTGTGTAACTCGTCCCCTGAGTGGTGTATTTTTCAGAGCGCTGACATCGATGACTTGTATTTCCCCCTCCCCCCCCCGCGCCATAATGAGTCCATGGGGCCGAACGCAGGCTAACACACATGCTGAACACATTCAGACACACACAAGACCTCATGTTACTCTCCGTTGTGTTTTAAAAGAAGGTTAACTGAGAGTGCGTGACTTTGGAGTGTGTATGTATATATCATTGTCAGTGGACATACCATTTGGTTTTTCCCCTTCGAAATGTCTCGTTTAAAGTAATTTATTTTATTTACGGACAGAATGGAGGAGCTTTAAGGTGATTTTAAAAGCCTGTGGTTTAGGCGGTCATGTTGACGTTAGTTTTTTCATTTGTGGTCA